ATCTTCACTTCCAATAACAACAATGAATATGTATTTATAAACATCCACGGTTATTGTTTGTTTTGTTGCCTTTTTTTTTTAATTTAGGTATCAGTAATTGGAAAGCCAAGTTCTTTCAGAAGTTGAGTCTTGGCTTAACAGCACAAATTCACATCTCAAAGCACTGAAACCTGTTGTTGATTTATATGTGTTCTTCAGAGAGAAATAACATCTCTTGTATTTTTCTCCAAAAGCTGCAGAAACGCCAGAGAAATAATAAAAAAAGTCTTTGCTCTTCCAGAATAAAACCAGGAACTTTTTCCTCAAGTTTTGGAGACTCCTACAGCTCACAGAAAGCCGAACAGCAAACAGATTAATAAAAACAGTATCATAATTTTAAGTGGAAATTAAGAGAAAAGGCAGAAAGCTGTGTTAACTTTGAAGAAATAAATATAAAGATAAATAAAATTATTTAAGGTGTTTCTTATTTTCTCAGCTTGGCTGATGTATGCTATTAATGAGCAATCCCCAGAAATCCAAGTATCAATTTTGTAAGAAAAGATGTCTTCAGGAAAACTGAAGTCTTTACAAAATCAGAAAACAAGCACACAAATTCCACAGTTACTTTGTTCCCAGTTAGCAAGGACCTGGTTGCCACCAGATCACTCCAAAATTCGATGAGACAGAGTGGACAGTCCTAAAAGCAAAGTACTAAATATGATAGTGGATTAAGAAAACTTATAATTCACTGGATACATTGAATAAATGACAGCATTTTCTTTCTAGTTCCCAACTGTGCTCTTTTTTCCTGCCTCTTGTTTTAGCACTCTACCCAGTCTCCAGTTCACACAACTCCAGAAGCTTTCTATTTCATAGCTTTCACAGTAAACCTAACTGCTAAAATTGTCAATCAAGTTCATTCTAGAGCTCATGTGCAGAGCACGGATAAATAGAAAATTGCATCCTGAGAGGCTCAGGTCTTTTGTCGATTGGCGTAAGTAATTTCCTCCCTCTATGCCTCCATCCTCCTTTGTACTCTAGTCCAATGTCTCCAGTCCTTCATGCTCCTTCTTAAACTGCCAAGTTTTTTAGGTAACACACTGTTTCTTACCATGTGTGATCTTGATTAACCCAGTCTGATATGGTCACTGACCTCTTGAAGCTACCTATATGCAAAACACTGAAGTAACATGAAACGCAGATGCCTTACCTTAAGAAAGTGCCTTGTTGCTAGAAAAAGGGTTGAATCCGTTTCTTGTGCTTTTGCACACTGTTCTGCTAACGGTGTTACAGCCTCCAGACAGAGCTGACAAACCTCTGAACTCATTCTGATAACAGGCGTTAAAGAATCAAAGTTAGATTTTAGTTAAATTGTAGTAAAACTTCCCAGTTGTGTCACTAGAAAATATTTTAAATGCTTGCATGTTCCAAGATCTCTTTTTACTATAAAGCTCTTAATAAAAAAAAATTTTAAAATATATAAAAAGGGAAAAAAAAAATTTCCAACTTTGCTGCCTTCTTTTATTAGCTACACGCCCGAAGGTAACATAACCCTCTCTGACATAACATTTTCAGAAAGAGTCCCTTATGGTCAAGCTCATCTGTTTCGGACACGTGCCACAGATTAGCGGAAACGGTGCTCCCATTATGCGAGGGAGAGCCCATTGGCACCCTGACAGGAAATGCTCTGGAGCCAGCCCAGTAGAACAGCAGCGATGTTTTGTATTACCAGCTGAGAAACTAATTCAGGAATGGCTTTGGGATACCAGCTGAGGGCTTATGAAGTTACACACTCTGAAATGAAGTAATGGAGGAGGCAGGAATGGCTGCCAGAAAAAACTTACATGCTAAACCACTTAAAGGCGGCATTCAAGCAACACAAGTCAGAGGCAATTCAGCTAATACTAGAATTTCAATAGACACGACAGTGAAACTCTCAATCACCAGAGAGCAGAGGGTAAGAGTTGATTACTGATATATAATTATAGATACAGATATTGACAGGAAAGGAAAAAATGCAAAGAAAAAAATACCCGATTTTTAACAGGTCCTTATAAAAGGACCTCAGATTTTTAAACACTCCCAAGCTCTATAAAGGATACGATGACATGCCTAACTCCAGTGAGTACATTAGGCTCTTAAAGAGGTCTTCTGGAAGTTGTGGAATTTTCTCAGGGAATATCTCACAGATGAAAGTGATTAATTTGTAATATTGATTACACAGGGATGGAAACTGTCAAAAGAAAAACATGGTAATTTTAGAATCAACCACATAACTCTATTCTGATATAATTTCCATCTGTAGAAAGAGACAGGACTGATGTTTTCCACTGAAGAAGAAAAGACAATTTTAGTAGACAACTTCAGAGTCCTTAGAGTGGCTACAACTTTATTAGCAAACACTGTAGTACAATAAAAAAAGATTGCTCAAGCGGCACAGTTGATGGTGGAAGTCTGGTATCTGCTCTATAAAAATTCAAGGAGTTTTACTTCAGGCATTAGCAAGTTTAGTCCTGTGAGGTAAAAGTCTCACAAGCATTTGGAGCACAATAGAGGGGGTCCAAGGGTACATCCTTTGACCCGTTTTCGTCTAAAATGGATGTAGCTCTCATGCTCAGCAAGCGCTACCAGATGAGAAAGCATGTTAAGAGGGGACAACTGAGATACTTTGCATCAGGGAGACACTTGTGAAGTGTAAAACATTAACACAGTGCAACCCAATGAAATACTGCCATTCCATTGTTTTGTATTTTACTGTTCTACTGACAAGCTGCTGCTATGATACGAAAGCCACTGAAAATAATTAGAGTTACTACTTGCTCCCAGATATTTTTTATTTTTTTTAAAACTAATGTCACTGTTTATGCTTCCTACCACATTTCTGACACTATCAGAAAAAGGATTCCACAGGTTTGGCTAATTGTAGAGCTGCATGGACTCACTTTTAGAAGAAATAAAGTTTTGTTTATGCCCTTCAAATATACATTTTCTCAGCTTACAATATTTCTTTTCAAACAGTATCTAGAACTAGTTACTTACATTTTAAAAAGTCTGGAAAACTCGACTTATGGAGGTGGTATGCATATTCCCAGAATGAATTCTGGGAATTCATTCCTATAAAGCCTTCATATTCTAGCAGCTATGTGTAAAAATATACTTACTTTCAGCAGATCCTGGGACATGAGAGGCAGAACTAGATTAACCCCATATAAGACAACATCTGCTGCTGATACAGATCTATTGGTAGCTTGCCCAGGCTCATGTCCTCTAAATACTTCATCTGTAGAAAAGACAAAAAATGTTCTGTATAAAAGGAGGATTAAACATATTGAAGGAAGAGTCCCATTTCTTTGTAATAAAGACTTTTTTAAAAATAGGACTATTTCCCTCTCCCCAAACAAAAACATGAGGCACTATATTAAAATAGAAACTTGGTGAGCGGAGGCTGCTACATCACTCTATATTTATATTTGTTAGGACTAAGCATTTCGTAATCATGTGTACCAGATGGCATGCTAGAACGGGGCTTCCTTCCATTACAGAACATTGCATTTGTTTCTACTGATAGCTGCTTCATGCCTGCACACATGAACAGACAGTGAGCAAAATATTACTGCATTTTTACACTTGTTATATATACACACACACATATGTTTGTATATATATTTTATTAACATAGGGAGAAAAAAATGGGAGAGTTAATGCAGAAAAATCTGTAGTTGAGACATTGCCAAGTTTTTTCGAGTTACAGGTAAGACCTACATTTCCCATCAACTGGCAGTGACCTTACTTTTATAATTCCTGCACTGAGTCTGCAACAGTATGCAGACAACTTTCAATACATTTGATCTCTGGGCATTACATTTAGGTAGTATTCACATTCCTTCATTTCATGGTAAGTATTTCACAGTGTTTTCCATGCAACTAATATCCAATGTCTGACCTCAAAGAGAATACATTACATGGCACAGAGCTGTCCATTCAATGGACAAAGTCTAAATCTGGTTGTGTGTTTATGTTGTGCACGCATGACAAAAAACTAGACTGATGCACTGAATTTCGGAGTACAAGGTTCTCTCCTTCAAGGTATACCTCAAAAAAGCAATAAACAACATCAAAACAACCTAGGCAGATTCAGTTTGTTACCAAGCATGTTTTCTGTGCGAACTGTCTAGGACATGGTAAGATCTGAATCATGCAAATGTCTTTCAGCTTATTCAAAAGCAATGCAGCACAGCTAATCTAGAACTGGCAGATCATATTCAGAACTACTGCAATTTTAAATGGCCAATACACAGAAGAAAGCAACAGGCTGGGATACAAAAAAGAACCCTTAACTACACCCACATATCATAAACCATGTTCTGTGAATGGGGAATACAGAAAACCCTCAAACATGACGGAATTTTAATGAGCTCAGCATTTCACAAAAGTTGGATCTTGTACTAAGAAGATAATCCATCTGCCTTCTTGTGGTAATTTACTATTCCGACTTCTCTATGGGTTTTTTGTTATAAAACTGCTGCTACTACATGTTCAGACTTGCCACGTTCAGATTTGAAGCAGTTTTATACATGCTGTATTTATTTTATGAGAGCAGTAATAATTTCTGATGTTAGAATATTGTGAAAAGTCCTTCCTTTGATTCTGGCATATTAAATAGTAATTTCCATATCCTGATTCTAATCAAGCCTAAACTTCAGTTTTCACTGTACCTGGATTGAATACATGCCCCCCAATGGTTTTTACAGTTAAGAACACAAGTTACGGT